ACAGAAAGGTTTTGCCAAAAAAGTCAGTTGGCTATGTATGTCACCATTCGTTTAGGTAAATGACTATCGTAAGGCCATCAAGAAATATGTCCCGCATAGTTTGTGAAAATATATTAAAAGGTGGGTTTGCTCGGCCAACACTGTTTAATAGTACATGTACTTTGAACCATATATTATTTAATAAGATTTGAAGTAGATCGCCATAGTAACTGCAAGCACCGGAAGTATCCATGAAATTGGAAAAAAGTAACTCATTTTCCAGCTCAGATAAGGAAGGTTCAGATTTTGGACATCCTCATTTCACCCTTACCAAACAATTAAAAAATTTCAAGTTTTTCAAAATCCTACGGCCTGATGTGAAAAGAAAATCTTTAAGCATTTTACAAGAATTTTGATTAGTAAAGAACTTTGGTTAAAAGTAAGGATATTTTCTTGAATTTCAAATGGCTGTGATCCAGCATTCATGATCAAATTAATTGAAATTTAAGATAAACATGTTAGAAACTGACCTCCTTCCATGATTCCCCCGTAGCTTCTAGTAGGGCAGCATTGCAAGTTTTTAATTCAATCGAAAACCCAGAAAACATGGAGGCAGCTTCTTCCCAGCCCCTATTATGCCCCATGCACCTACACAGTCAACCTAACTTTTGTAAGATATCAATGAATGGATAGCATTAATAAGCTTTTAATCTAGCCTAAATCTTAAAATAAAGCAACAAAAAAGTAAATAAGTGTCCAAAAACAAATATCAATACACCCATTTACTAAGCATTGCATCTCTCAGAGATGTGACTCACATTACTGTAAGGACCTCATCCCTTGAGTATTGACATACAATCTTTTGAAGATGTTCAGCCGTCTGACCATCCATTGCTGCAATAGAATAGAAGCTCGGCATAAAATGAACCTCAGCTTGTGAGAACTCCTTTGAGTACTCTTGCATAATTTTAAGGGTTTCCTTTGTCCGAGTAGCATCACTGTGATGTGAAAAGTAGTTTAATATCAAAGACTGTCCCTACAATGTAATCTAGCTATCACTTCTTCAATTGAGCAAAGAAATCAATCTTCTCACTTTATTTTTCAGGCATAATTTTAAGAAGTTTTTTCTTTTTTTTTTTTTTTGCTTTTTGCTGAATTTTAAGAAGCTTGACACAGCACAACAAAAATGGTACGGATACTTAGAAAAAGCAAGTTTAATTTTGCAGGTTAACCTAGGAAAAAATTAAGGTCTAAACCCACATTTTAGGCCCTACAAGTGAAAGCGAATTTCTGATCACAAATTTCATGGAAGTTTGTAAATGGCAGGCATCTTTGATTACAAAAATGTTCATTAATATAATAGATATGCAGCTTTATATTTATTATAACTATGATAATCATTCTTTAATCAAAAAATAAATGGTAAAGATCCTATGTACAACACATAGGATGGCATTCACTGGAATAAGTATGCTAAATTACTAGTATGGTACAAATTGCATGTAGGTTAAACAAAGAAAATTTTCTGAGATCTTTGTTTAAAAATATTTAAATATAAGATATTGCACCATTTTCAATTTTAAACTAGATGATATCTCAGTCTTCAGTTTATTGTGGGAAAACAACCTCAAGCATTTGAAGGTGTTCCATCTACTACAAAAGCAACATCTTAACATGTGAATTTGCCAAAAAGTCCCACCTCTACCTAGGATTCGGCGTGCTTGATGGAGACATAAAGATTGATCCTAAAAAGGTAAAAGCTGTCAATGTATAGCCCGAGCCAAACATATTTATCCACCATGTTCCAATACTTGCCTCTCCTTTCTATGCTTTAACAAGAACCAATTTTGAAAATTGAAAGAGGCAAAAGCAAGAAGATACATTATTCGATTAAAAAAAAGATAAATGGGGCCCTTGAACTGGGCTTGCTAAATTTGTGATATAGTTTGAACTGGAGGCCTCACAAGTTGCACCAAGTAATCTACTATACATGCTTCACCCTGACATCCACATTACACATAATGTTTGACGGCCGCCATATATTGTAAATACCATCATGTTTATGTTTCTATCATGTATAGGATGCTTTCATTAAATTTAACTTAGTTGATAACTTTACAATTGCCAAGTCAGCATAAGATGGGGCAAATGGCTATTAAATTCAGATGTCAGCTAGAAAACTTCCCAGCAAAAATGGGAATTGGTGAGCCTTAGCTTCAGATATCGTATAGGAATCTTTTATTATAAGTTGAACTTCCAGCCTTATTATAATGTCTTAGTCTGAATTTTGATAAGTTACATGAAAAATGGGAATTGGTGAGCCTTAGCTTCAGATATCAAATAGGAATCTTTTATTTTAAGTTGAATTTCCAGACTTATTAAAATGTTTTAGTCTGAATTTTGATAAGTTACATGTCCTTCTAAATGTCTTCTAAGGAAGTACCAGTAAGGAACCCAACAATTCTATGGTGCAAAATCGAGATGAGCCTTGGGCACCACCTATTAGTACCGAATTTCTTGCAAGTTGATGGGCCATATCACCAACTTGCCATTACTTGGGGGTCATGACATCAACAACATCAATTCTGGTTTGAAGTATATGTGAAATTGGATATGTCAACACACAATAGATAAGTTGATGCCAACAAGCTTGACTCCTGGATCAAGCGTTTGGTAAATACTTACTATCAACAAATAAACAGAGAATCATTTTCTTCTGATCAGTGCTCACAGGCCAATCAGAATGATTGGGTAAAATTGAAACAAAATCAAATGGTTACTGGAGACCGAACTTTTTTCAGAGCGGGAAAAGAGATTTTCATGGTAGTGCTTGCTTCAACGCTTAGAATAGTAGATGCAAGAACATATGGAGTTCAAAAAACTGGTAGTTTCCCTATATATCTTGTTAAAAAACTTCATCTTTATGAAGTATATTGCAAGGTCATAAGACAATTTGGAAGGAGTTGAAGCTTTTCAAGACACCATTGCAAACGTGAATACAAAAGCCATCGCCATGGAAAAACAAATTAAATCCACAGCTAAGAAGACTATTACAGGAAGTAAAGAGGGTAACCCATAAGATGGAGAAACAAGATGGTGAGAAGGGGCCAAACAAAAGGGAAAAAAATAACATTTTGCTCGCATTACAAGGTACATAACAATAGAAAATACAATTGCTGGAAATTACAAGCCAAAAAAAAGGGTGATAAAGATTGGGGAGTGTAGTAAGCAAACCTCTGGATCATTCTGATGGCAAACAAGAGGCCCACAAGATCCCACTAGCAACACAAGCAACAAATGGATGTTTTGGTCAGGCCTACTCGAAAGCTATATGGGCAGATTTTTTCTATGCCCTGAGACAACCAGCAATCATAACAAGCAACCGTACATACTCTAAGAAGTTAACAGCACTTGCATCAGCATTCCTAGCAGTCACACCTGCTAAAACATAAAATTCGAGGCTAGTCTGTGGACAAAGCTTCAAACAACAACAGCATTAATCACATTTCCATTTATTATAGCCTTACATTTAGAAGCCTCTGCACGAGGTAACGGAAGAGGTTTCTCGGTTTAATACCCAAATCAGGATAGCAATTGTCTCCGCAATCATTAATCAAAGTAGCTGAAAGGATTTAATCTCAGAAGAACTGGAGATTCAACTGCAACTATGAGTGAAATCCTATCCAAAGTCATTATAATTAGGGAGGAT